CCTCCTCTTGCACTACAAGCTTTCTCTCTGCTCTCTAGGGTTTCTCAGGGGTGCAGTGGCCGCAAATGAAGGTCATAATGGCCTTTAAATAGGACACAGGCCCCAAGATTTAGGGTTTCTGCCGCCAGCACAGACTCGTCGAGTCACCTAGCCGACTCGTCGAGTCCATTCATTAATCCAGTTAGCAAATCGCGATCCTACTCGACGAGTCTAGGCGCCAACTCGTCGAGTCCCTCTCTTTAACTCAAAATAAAAGGTTAAAATAAAATACCTGGAAATCCGGATGTTACACCTAGATTGCTTATCGAAGAAGTTGAACTTTAAGCTCTTGATAATTCCATAACCTAATTCGTAAATGATCTTCTTTAGACAACCTTGATTGTTTCACCAACTTTTTGTTTGTAATTTATAGCCTTGGATGTAGTGGCTGATGTAGAGTATTGGAAGTGGGGTGCATGGACCCCACCTGATTGTAGTTTTCCACCTTATATATTTTCAATAAAAAATCATTTGTTTATATCTTTTTGCAGCTGGTCCCCACTTGTTTTTTGTTGGCACCCTTTAAACATATAGAACGTTGTTTCTTTGTTTCTTTGTTTCTTCTGTTCTAAAACTTAACAAAACTGCCTATCGTCTGTTTTTTGTGAAAAAAAAACCCAAGAAGGAGCAATTACATTTCAAAAAAAATCCACCATATCACTCATGTGATCTTATTCAAGGTTTACATATATGAAAAACCAAATTAAATGCATGTACATGATGCTATTATAATAAATAAAGGCATCACAATGTTCTATCTGTGATTTTGCATACAATTTTTTATAAATACAAATTTTCAGTTATTTTTATTTTTATCTTTTCAGTAATATGATTATATAATGGACTCAGTAATATGATTATATAATGGACTCCGGTTACCATTTTTTCTGGATCCGCCACTACTTGGATGATCTTTTAATTATTTCTATTAACTTGATGGCTTCCATAATGTCGATCAAAGGTTGAGCTCTAACTGAGTAACTGACTTCATTTTTTATAGTTCGGGCAAATAACAAATAATTCTTATCGAATTGGTTTGATAATACTTGTAGGTTTGAACTGAAAAATTATAAATGTACGTTTTTAAAACACAATTTAAGTGAAGACTTAGCATTTGATTCTAAATTTACTTTTTGTGGGGGTTTCCACTTTCCCAAAGACCGAGTCGCTACCAGAAGCATGACAAGATATTAACAATGAAATTGAACAGGAAGGTGTGATCGTCAATCAACTCATGGCGAATGAATCGGTGTCTCTCTAAATCAAAGGTGAGATCCCGGGGGAGGAGACGACTGTAATGTAGTATGGTGGTTATGGTGGCCGCTGGATGAACTGCCATTGCCTTCACTTGTCTTGATAGCGATCCAAACAGTAATGGTCTCAAACACTGCATGCATTCATTTATCAATTATCCCTTCAAATTCGACTCAAAATTCAAAAAACATCCAAATTCTACAATTGTGGTGATGAACATACCATGGTGTCGATTTTCAGAGTTGATCGGAAGAGAAGGCGGATTATGGTGGAGGAATTGAGAGGTGAAATTGTATAAATCATGGAAGAGATGAGAGTCCCAAGAGAGAATTTGAATACTTACAAACAGAAACATTGGGCGCTTCTCTTGGCTTCCATCTTTGGATTTAACGAAACCTCAACAATTCTACAGTACCAAATTTATGCTAAACTAAACCCCTCAATTTTGACTATTTTCATTATTTACTTTTGCCTCTTTTGATATTATCTTGATCACAAAAAAATAAATAACTTGATATTCTCTATATAGTTTTTTCTGAGTGTAACAAGTTGTTACATGCATGGATCCAACCGAACCCGTCGAAATCAAATTCGACACTTTTTACGACAAGTTTTTAGGATGAAAATAGAGCATTTGTGATTTTTAGGGACTATATAGGAGAGCAATTTTATATCCCCGTTTGTTTCATAAGAAACACATATTTAAAGTTTTTGTCTTATTTACATCGGTCATCGGTCATGTTCATAATATAGTTAAGGGTGACAATTCATAACATGATATAAAATGAAATTAAAACGAAAATGAAATTGAAATTCGTGTTCGTGTCAAATGTAAAAAGACATGACGTCATCTTGTGTCATCTCCGTGTTTAAGATTCAACACAAAATTGAAATTATATTAACATTTTTAAAAAATAAAAAAATCCAAAAAAATGAATAAATAAATAAAAACCCAAAAACTAAAAAAGCACAAAATTTCAAAGATGTACTATAAAATATTAAAAAATTAAAAAAAAAACAAAAAATATATATAAAATAACCTAACAAAGAGTTTATTTTTATTTCAAAAAAATGAAATTAAAAAAACAAAAACAAAAAAAAACTCATTTAAATGGCGTTTGATGGATATTAATCGCACTTTTTTATATGTTCAAGACTGTATTATATATTCTATGGATATATGTCGTATGCGAACATGTCAAGTTCAAAGATTGAGTTTCATGTTTGTGTGTTTACGAAGCGGATAGTAAAAAATTGTCATTGGTCTCATAAATTTTACAGTTAAATCCCAATATTTTGGGAAAAAATTTAAAAAGTCCTAAATTTATTTATTTTTTTTATAAAAAAAAACCCAGAAAACCGAAAAATTTATTTAGTTTAATCCTTTTTTACCTATTCACCCAGTCACCATGCTATATGGCATGTCATTAGGACACATGTGATGATTTGGGGCTTGACATGGACATGTCACATGGGACGTGTTTGACACAGAGATTTTGGAACCGTTTGGGAGCTTCTACTTTTAGTTTTTGACAAAACGCTCTAGTTTAAACAAAAAGTTTTGTTTGACGGTACGAGCGTTTAACTTTTAGTTTAAACAAAATGATTCAAATCTAAAAGCTATTTCATGTATCATTTAATTTAACGCTACTGAGCTTTTGAAATCGATTTCCATAATTACCAAAAGTCTATTTATATATTTATTTATTTTTAACCAATTGTCCTTTTATGTAATTTTATATATTTTAAAAGTTTCCAGCCAAACACTCATATAACAAATAAAAGTTACAGGTTTCCGCTATCAGCTACCCGCTAACCACTTCCAGCTAACATCTACTTTTGCCAAACATGTCCATGACATGTCTTCATTCTTTTCAAAAATGCCATTTTTTCATTACTAAGCAACAAGCTAACGTGGCATGTCACGTCAGCCCCCACATCATCACATGGTGATGTGTTCAGATGACATGCCATGTGGCATGGTGACCGGTTGAATAGGTAAAAAATAACTAAACTGAATAAATTTTCGGTTTTGTGGGTCTTTTTATTCAAAAGAAAATATTTAGGATTTTTTTTTAAATTTTTTCCAAAAACTTAAGAGTTTTCTAGAGATTTTCTTTTCTATATATGTATGGATGTTTGTAATGTGTGTTTTAACATATATAAATCATATACATGTATGTTTGTTTGTGGTGTGTGTTTTAACATATATAAATCATATACATGTATGTTTGTTTGTGGTGTGTGTTTTAACATATATGAATATGCATAATATGCATGACAATTGATGCATCTACATTTTTTGTAAAATTCCTTATAATATTTCATTCAATTGTGAATTTGTGATAATATTTCATTCCATTGTGATAAAGTCCACGGCTCCGTCACTTTTTTTTTTTAACTAAGATTTATTTGATATGAGTGAATTTAATGCTATTTAAAAGAAATGAGCCATTTTCGTTCAAGTTTGTAGACAGCCATTGCCTCTCCATGTCGTGCTTGAGGTTTTTGAATAAACCAAAGCTTTAACGGTGTTCTTAAGGTAGTAGGTAAATATTGTGGGCGCATTAAAGTTTCAAAAAAAAATATTTAAAATAGTGTATAATGTTTCTATCTATAAAAAAACTTAATACTTAAACGTTTTTCGACTTAACCTTTTTGAAAATGTAATATAAAACACTATATAATTTTTCGTTCACCTTTTAGAAGTTAATATATATTTTCTATTTACGCATCGATTTACTTATGTGCAAGTAACATAGACCTTAAATTGGTATCTATTGCCACTATGTTATGTCAACGTCTTAAAACATTGATAAAATTATGTGGTTGGTTCTTGTTGTTTGTTAAAGAGAAATCTCTATAAAAGTCTTAATATTTTATCTTAATTTACGAAAATGACCCAAACTAAATTTTATTTACAAAAAAACATGGACTACCGTTAAAAATGATAATTTGACTTATTTTTTCCGGTTTACCAGTTTCATTACGTATATGATTCCATTAAAGTCCCATTACATGTGTAACACCTGGTTTGAATTGGAAAGGATTTATGCATAGACTCGGCGAGTTGGGAGGTCAACTCGTCGAGTAGGGTCGTGAGATCATGAAACGCGGAACGGGACCGACACGGCGAGTTAAAGGTCGACTCGGCGAGTCCGAGCTGTTTAAAGAAAACCCTAAATTTAGGGTTTGCCCCCTATATAAACGTCATTATCCGCCCCAGTAGCCTCCCTTAGCACCATAGAAAAACATTTACGGCCGCAAACCCTCTTGTGTGTGAAGTAAGATCAAGTGGGAGCTTATCCTTGAGATTTTGGGGAGGATTCCAAGTTTGAAGAGGAAGTATCAAGGGAGAAGTGTTA